AATACAATTAATACATTTAAATTATATTTTTTAAATGTTAAAAAGAAAAAGAAAACAGACTCCTCTACCTATTAGGCATTTCTGTGGCAATATGTAATATACCACTTAACCATGACATTGAAGAACTGACCTGATACCAGCCCCTTTCCACCTGCTCAGCCCCACCTTGTCCCATAACCTGTGGATGGAGAGGACATCCTTCCCATTGTCCAGGTCCAGATGTTAGAACCATGTCTTTTTTCTCTCTCTCTCTTACACACGCAGACAGCAAATCCAGCTTGTTAGAAAATTCTGGGTACTCTGTCTTCATTAACCACCTGCTCCCTGCTCCCTGCCTTCCTAAGAGCCTTCAGCCCTTCCTGGGCACCAATAGCCTCCTGTTTCCATCTTTGCTTTCCTACAATCTCTCATCCACACAGAGTCAGAGGGAGCCTGTAAAAGCATACATTGAGTGGGTGGGTATAGCTCAGTGGTAGGGCGCATGCTTAGGATGCATGAGATCCTGGGTTCAATCTCCAGCATCTTCATTAAAATAAATAAATTACCTACCCCCAAAAAACACGAACACAAAAGCGTAAGTTGGACTACATCACCCCTCCCCACAAAACTCACTAAACGAGTCACCATATCATTAGGAAGCAAAGCCATCACAAAGGCCTCAGGACCCAGCGGGCTCTGCCTCTCCGCCCACACTCTCCCCAACACTCTGGGGGCCTCTGGTTCAGGCTCTTCCTTCTTCCTCCGGGTCTATTCTGCTTCAAGTTCATTACTCCATGAGATCTGCCAGGATTGCCTTATTCCCCCCTGCCTGCCTCCCACCTCACCGCCATCACCCGAATTTGCTCATATCACTTTTTTTTTTAATTTTTCCAAGCTCTTGCTACCCACAACATGCTGCCTGTTTCCTCTGCTAAAACTCTGAGCCTCCAGTGATGGGGAGTCATGTATATTTTGTTCACTGATAAAGCCCGAGAGCCTTGGGAACGGGTCTAGTTAGGAGATTCCTGTACGTAGTAGGAGCTTATACACATTTGCTGAATGAATGTAGAGGCCCTGGACCAATCCGATGGAGCACTTCTGTGTCCTGCTCAAATAATAACTCTCCTTTCCACCTGAGAGGGTGTGACAACTTCCTTGGTGATCAAAGGCAAGATATTTTTGCTTTATGCTGTTAACCTTAGGCGGGGAGACAGGGGAATCTTCATATATATTATTAAATTTGATTCACTCTGCAGTTTCTCTTTGGTCTCTGTATAATTTTGAGAAACTCTTTATGAGTGATCATTCTTCCATCAGATTGAACAGGGTCCAGGGGAAAGAACTAAGCCTGTCCCATTGGCCATACTTTGTGTCATGTCCTGGGACCCAGTGGATGCTCAGCACATAAGTGAACCGACAGGAGTGAGTGAAGAGATGGGAGCATCTCCTTATTGTGGTGGCTGCTCTCTGTCCGATGCCTTGAGATTTGGGCAAGGGTTTACCAGTGCGGAGGGGAGATGTTAGGTCCTCTGTGCTCTTCCTGAGTGCCCTGGCCTTACCCATTCCCCAGCCCCCTCTGGGCAGCCAAGCCGAGGAGCTGGGCCACCAGGGGTTGTGCTGATCAATAATCCACCTTCACCCCAAGTACGGGGGGTAGGTACACCTGGTTGTAGACTCTGGAGTCAGGTCCTTGGAGGAATTCCTCACCGAACTATGTTTTGTACCTTTTATTTTTCTCTATAACCTCCAGCTGAAGAAGAAGATTGTCTTAGACACATGAAAGTTGAGGATGCCTACTGTCCCCTCGAAACCCAGGTGGGGCTGGGAGACTGCTGTTTGTATAGCCGGTGGGCTCGTGCTACTTTGGGCATCCCTGTGCCTGAATTCCTGCAGTACAGTTGGTGGTAAGGATGGGGGTGCCTGGCAGGGAGGCAAGCGGGTCAGGAGACTGCACAGCTGGGGAAATGTTAACCTGGGGTTAGCGGGAGTCTGCTGATGCATGGAATCTCGGTGCAGGGAACTCTCCACACTCAGAGGGGTTCCCACTTCCGCAGGGGCCCTTTGATCAGGGTGCTAGGCTGTCAGTGGGCCACAAGGGTCCCAGTGAAGACTATGGTGCCTTCAGGCAATGGGAAGTGAGGGGTCCAGCGGCATTTAAATTAGCTGTGCTCCCAAACCCAGTCCCCGCCTCTTTCAGCCTTTTTCCTAATCTGCAAAACTGGAATGATATTAACCATCCCGCAGGGTCGTTGATGGGCTGGGACAGACAAGACAGTCAGGAGCTGGAATTCCTCTGCCCCCAGATTGTTTTCCTTCTTTCTGACTATTTTCTCTCACAAGCTCAGTCTCTCTGTCTCTCTCTCTTTCACTTCTAATTTTCTCTCATGCTCTGGTTTCATTTGATTTCCAACCACTGCGCCTCTCCCTCGCCAATCCCCAGATGAGTGAACTTGATTTCTGTGTGTCAGTTCCAAATTCCCAGGAAAGATGTTGTGTCTCCCTCTGGATCTGTTGTCCAACCCAGTTGTGGCCAGAGGAGTGAGTCCCTCTGGGACCAGCCGAGGGTCTCTGCCCAGCCCCCCAGCCACCACTGTGGGAGAACATAGCTCTCCGAGGAGGAAGTACTGGCTGTGACCTTGTGTCAGTCAGTATGAATTTATGTCTCCTCTTGCCCCACATTCATCCTCCTAAACAAAGATGAAAATTAAACACTCCCGGGATATGTGTCATGTAACACTTAGGGTGGGGGCTAAGGGGGCTGGAATCTGCTGCATTTAAGGGGCTATAGTGACTCCCCAACGAGAGCCTGTAAAGGGAACACCACCGGCCCCACCCAGCACTTAGGGCGCTGAGTCTGCGTGATGTTGAGCCAGGCTTCTAACCACAGCTCAGGGGTCTAGTCTGACAAGTTAGCCTTTGAAACCAACCAGCTTTGGATTCCTCAATCCCTCCCTGAGCTTTTACTGAACCACCAGCTTCTGTATCTCTGAAGACAGATGATGAGGACCCTTCACTTAAGCCGTTAGCACAGCCCTGTGCAGGCCTTTGTGCTGTACGGTCTGCCCGGCGAGCTGACCGAGGTTGGTATTTTACTGATGTTAGAAATAGTCTGGTTTCCCGATGTACTGTTTCACTGAACAAGCAACAGAAGCCACTTCTCGCTGATAAAAGCAAAAGAGGGAATTAATGGAAAGATACTGGGAGGGTGTGTGGAGTGGCCAGGACCAGAGCCAACCCAGGAGCTGTAGGAAGTTTTAGGGAGCCTAAGGCACCAGGTTGGGTGGGGTGCTACCGGGCCCCCTGCCACCCCAGAAGGGACCCCCTCCACCCGACCCTCCACCTCACTCACTGCAGGTTCATGTCCCTGCAGGGCCAGGTCACACTGAAGCCACCAGCACACACCTCAGTGGGGGAGTTGGCCCCGTCTCAGCTGAGGGCATGCCTGGTGTGGGGAGAGGCCCAGTTAGAGGAAGGCGGATCCCCTACTGTTCCAAGTTAAGGTGCAAGTCAGTGCCCATCACTCAGGAGAGCCAGGCTGGACGGACCTTATTGTGGTGACTAGGCTGTCTGAGTTCACTTATTACTTTCTATGTTTGAAGGCACTGGAGGGAGAAAAAGTGAAGGTTCTAGTACTTATTTTGTGTTTCCCACGTACCAGGTGCGGTAAGCAAGCCACTTCAGACAAGGCCCAGAGCAACCACGTTAATAGGCCACGGAGCAAGTCGTGCATTCAGGCCTCTGTGGTCCCGAAACCCGTGTCCCCATCGGCTTCGTAATTATCAGTGGAAACTGGGGGGATTTATGGGACTGTGTGCTCCTGTATGGGCTGGGATGTGTGTGTTTAAATCCACATCTTCAAAAACTCGGCTAGAACCACAGCCACTGATTGCACGGAGGCAGAGAAGGGGAGGCTTCCAGCCTCTGGTCCAGCTTGTGAGGAGCTCAGAAGTTGCGCCTCCTGTCCTGAAAACAATATCAGAGCTGAGGGAGCTGAAAACCCACTGCTCTTCTTAGATCCACAAGAAAACTGAGGGGAAAAGCTGCTCCCAACCCAGAGAGGCAGCCGGGCAGGCTTGTGGAGTCACAGCTCCCAGGGCAGAACCTGCTTTTGTAAGAACCCCGGGGGCAGGCAGATTTAACAGGTCCCTGAATCCAGCGGGACGCTCAGCGTGGGGAAATCTGAGTGTGACAACTCCAGGGGGCCAGTCAGAGGGTCCCCATGCTCTTTTTCATGCATTTTACCTCCAGGACCATGCCCTGTTCTCAGAATGAAGGTCAGAGAAAAACCCCTCATGCTTCCTGCCTGGAAAGGAGAAAATAACTCTGTTGAAATACACCCAGAAAGTTCTGTTTCATTGGGGGAAGTTGTTTTCTGTTTATTTTTTTTAATGAGAAATTATTTTACCATAGCCTAACCAAACTGGGGGAAGGGAAATCCCTTCTGAGTCACCCAAATTGGGCTGGGGGAAAGAGACACAATTGTGGAGGTCACAGCTCAGGTCACAGGCTCAATGAGAACTAATCACAGGACTGCAGATGCTCCCCACTGTCCCACCACCCCATCGCCTTACCTCCATGTCAGTAGGGCCCCTGTGAAATAACAGGAATAAAACTAAAAGAAGTAAATGTCTCAGGAGTGTCTAGGGAAAACCCAAAGACAGCAGGGAGATGAAAACAAGGGCACACAGGTGGCTTTAGCCTCTCACACCAATAGCTGTAGCAAACTACACACAGCCCAGTCCCAGCAGATAAACAGAAAACCTTACAGAAGAAACTATTTATCTTGGTTCTCTTATCCAGGGCATCCCACGTTGCATCCTCGCCTAGTATTTAATGGAAGCAAGTCCATCTCAGAAGAGACATAACTGAAGAGGGATGGCTTTCCAGGCTCTGACGGGCAGAGAGAGCACCAGCCTGGGTGAAAGCACGGTGAGGTGTGGGGTAGGGGGTGGGCTACCTTCTTCCACAAATAAGGAAACTTCCTCAGGCCAGCACAGTGGGAGGGAGGGCCATGGGGTGGAAGCAGCCAGACTTCTTCCTGAGAACTGATGAGATGCCTCCAAGGGACCATTCAGGTGCCCAAACTGGGCCCTGAGGGTGGGAGCCAGTCGGTCTGCCTCAGAGCCCAGGACTGAGTTGGGCGCACAGCAGGTCTTACTTGGTCGGGTCCGTTTCAGTTCCGTGAAGTCCTGTGTAAAACATGAAGCGTGGACGGCCTGGTGAGCACAGCTCTGCCCTCAAGAGCGGTTTCAAGTCCTCTCTTCCCAGAGAACATCATCTCTGAGCCCATCCTAGGTGACCTCACAGAGATCACCCTAGTGTTCCAGATTAGTGGCAGGAAACATATACTTTCTGGCAGGCAACCCCAGAGGTCCACTGATGCATCATGTACTGGCAAGGATATGAGTACCTGCACGCTGGTGCAACAGCAGAGGCTCTGCCACATGCCCAAGAGGTGATGTGTGGGACATGCAGGGGTGCAGAGGTGTAGGTCGTGCAAGGTGAAAATTGTGTCAATGGTGCCCGGGCTGTGGAGGGTGCAGGCCGT